ACGGACTTAGTTGCTCCACAGCATGTGGGATCTTTCCAGACCAGGGCTCGAACCCATGAAAAAAAAAAAAAAAAAAAAAAAAAAAGTAACTGAGAGACTAAAAATGTAGCTACAAGGTTCCAAATGTTTTAAAAGTCCAATAGTCTTTGTTATAAGTAGTTTTCTGGGGGGCTTCCCTGGTGGCACAGTGGGTGGGAATCTGCCTGCCAATGCAGGGGACATGGGTTCAATCCCTGGCCCGGGAAGATTCCCACATGTTGCAGAGCAACTAAGCCCGTGTGCCACAACTACTGAGCCTGCGCTCTAGAGCCCGTGCTCTGCAACAAGAGAAGCCACGACAATGAGAAGCCCGCGTGCCACTCGCTGCAACTAGAGAAAGCCTGCGCACAGAACAAAGACCCAACACAGCCAAAAATAAAAACAAATAAATAAATACATTTAGTAAAGAAAAAAAAAAAAAGAAAGTAGTTTTCTGCTCTGTTCAGATTTATCAGATCTTAGACCCATTTGGCAGATTTAAAAGAGTGACCTGAAAAAGGATCATTCTTTTTTGGGGATACACTGTATAAAACTACTGTGGACTGGTCTGCTTTGTGGCTCTATTATGTAGGACAGATGAGATCTTTAACAACCCATGGGGAAGAAAGGCCTGATCTGTAGCATTTGCCAATTTCCTCGGTGTAAATTTTCCCACCATAGTCAATTGATGTCACTGAGGAATTGGGAAGAGATGAGCAGAAGCACACCATTATATAACATTTCCACCATACAATAGATGTAAATAACCTTAAGAGCACAGATAATTGTAAAATGTAGTAAAATATTGGAAGTGATGAGGTTTGAGTATTTATGACCTTTGTTTTTAATGTAAGTTACATTTTATCTAAATATAACAAAGTTTGATAATTGCCCCCGCCTCCAAGAGTTGGTATGGACTAGCCCCAGCACACCCCTTTAAAGTGGCCCTAAGACTTACCAAGAACACGTGCTCAAATATCTGTGTAGGGCTATCCATCTGACCAAGGATCACTATCATTTCATTATCTATAAATTCCTTGAATTCTCGCAAGTTGCACACCATTTGCATTTCCAATTCAGTTCGTATCTGAAACAGAGATGACATTTTGTACTAATCTCTGAAAAGTCCCTCTGGACTTTCAATCACTCACCATTTCTAGCCCCACTCCTATTATCATTCTACCTCTAGCCTTGGAACAATGGGGACTCAAGGTCTCTTACCTCTTTGGATGTGATATTCTCCAAATCCTTCTGCATCATAATCTCCCTTAATTTGGTTTTAATTAGCCTTTCTGTTCGCTCACGTTCAGTTGGTCTGAGAAGAGAGAAATGGTGATTTTTCTTAGGCAGGAATTTGACCAAGTCAATGAATGTGCCACCTGATTATGTTTCCAAAGTGGCAGGCCTTCCCTTTGTTACCCTTAAATTTATATTCTGGAGGCATGGGAAAAAGAAAATTATACTTTAAAAAGTTTCTTTTCATAATGTATAGAATACAAACACGTAAAAATTATTACGTGAAGAGACTGTATATGTCTAAAAGCTCATAAATATATTCACGTATACAGATCCAAGGAGTAAAAGACAAATAGGCTACACTGAGTGTAATACTTTAATGGAGGACCATTTCCCATCAAGTACCCCTGAGTACCACTTGCTGAGCTAGAATACCAAGCTGGGAAGACCAGTGGTGTGACCTACTATGGAACTGGGTCTTCTGTAGCGTAAAAATGCCACCCAACGCTGACCATCTGTTGCTACGGTTCTAGAAAAATGCGAAAGAGAGAAGAGTGATTTCTGCCTTCTTCAATGAAGCAAATTCTCTTCCAAAATGGATTTTAAGGATTAGCTACCTGGAGTACTCCACCCAAAATGTGTTCTTTTTCACAAAAGCTCTCACCAATATCTCTGTGAAATTATTATCCCCATTTTACAGATAAAGGAAATAAACAGCTAAAAGGTTAAATGACATGCCAACCGTCACTTTCACTGGCAGGAGACCCAGAACTCTCCGTCCAGCCTAACACTCTACCTGCAAGATTATGTTGCTTCCCTTAGTCTTCTGACTCTCTTAAAAACAAAAATTTCCCTTGGAACCTTACTATGAAATCAAACTAGGAAGCTGATTCTCCAATTACTGGAAAGATACTGGTTCAACATAACTAGATGCTTCTCTCTAAAAGCATTATTTCATATTATGCAGAATTTGAGTGAGGCTAACAGAGAGTACTTTCTGTCTCATCTTTCCCTCCTACCTACTTGAGAAAGGTATCTGCCCTGTACTTCCTTATTTGGAGATGGAAATGGACTAAGCCTTCAGGCATCCTGCCTGCCCTTGCTGCCTACGGCCTTATCACTGGCTGCAAAAATAGCTTCAGTATAATCTCCAAAGATGGATGCTCTGACCCCACAACCTTGGGGCTCCCCACCACTTGGACTCATAGTTTCTCACGAACCCTGCAGAGTATAGCTAACACCTCTGCCATTTCCCTGTCAATCAGCCAAAGCATCCCTGTCTTGACTAGGATTAACATTCTTAACCATGCTCCCCACCATTTTCCCTAGACATAGCTAATGGTAGAAAGTTATATATTTCAGTCTTCAACTAAAAATAAATATTGGTAAAAAACAAATTTTAGCACCTGTGTGCATCGGTTCGATTCCCTAGTTTAGCAGACTTTCTCCCAATCCTTCACACTTGTTGGGCCAGAGTGGTTTGGGAGCAGACATACCTGGGTTTTAATCCCAGCCCTGCTACTTACTAGTGGTATGACCTTGAACAAATACCTTCCCTTTGCTCAATCTCTGTTTCCTTTTCTATAAAATGTGAACAGTAATACTATTTGTCTCACGAGGTTTTTATGAGAATTAAATGAGATACCATGTATGAAGTGCCTGGCATAACATCTGACGTACACTGGAGGCACCATACACCTATGTTCCCTGCTCTACCTTCCTTGGATTTCAAAATATAAACTTTATTCACAGTAGAGCACTTAAGTCCATTTTGGCATACATTCTCCTCTGTAACCTCAGCATTATTTTTTAGGCTTTTCTAGTCAACTTAGGGAAGAAGAGGGAATGGAAAAGGCATTATAACACAAACATACTTTCTCCCTTGATTTCACTACAGAAAAATCTGGAAAATACATATATACACAAAGAAAATAAAAATCACCGAAAATCCCCGTCATTATTAATACTCTCACCTACAGCTCTCAGTCTCTTTTTCTATAGACAGACATTTGCTTATTAAATATATCTTAAATTGTGGTTATATTGTACCTAGTAAGAATTAACATTTAATGAGCCTTTACCATGTGCCAGGGACTACATTTTACATTATTATTATTATTTTTTTGCTCAGGGATAGAGATCATGGGCAATTTTATTTTCTTTCCTTTTTGTGCTATAATTTCCAAATCTTCTCTAATAAAATCAGGAAAAATGAAAAGGCTGAATCAAAATGTCCATTTATGTACCAGATGAGACATCCATTTCTCCAATACCCATCAACCAGTCATAAAGCACGAAATCAATAACACTGCCCACAATTCTGAAAGCCATACATACTATCTTTATCTTTTTAGTTACTGTGGAATCTTATTTATTTATTTGTTTGTTTATTTATTTATTTATGGCCGCGCTGGGTCTTCGTTGCTGCATGTGGGCCTTCTCTAGTTGCGGTGATTGGGGGCTACTCTTCGTTGTGGTGCGTGAGCTTCTCATTGCAGTGGCTTTTCACGGGCTCTAGGTGCGCGGGCTTCAGTAGCTGTGGCTCGCGGGCTCTAGAGCACAGGCTCAGTAGTTGTGGCGAATGGGCCTAGCTGCTCCATGGCATGTGGGATCTTCCCGGACCAGGGCTTGAACCCAAGTATCCTGCACTGGCAGGCATATTCTGAACTGCTGAGCCACCAGGGAAGCCCCAGTTACTGTGCAATCTTGAAAGGACTAGAGCTACTAGTACTAACTGGTCCTCATACCAATAACACCCTATACAAAAAAGCTTTCACTGTTTTTTTTGACTGTTCCATTCACATAATTCTTGGAAATTTCACCTTTTCTAGTAAAAAGCATTTATTATCTAAATTAAGCCTTTAAAAAAAGAATCACGAATTGTTTTGGTATCACTTTAGGAATCTGAAGGTGAAGGTTTGTAAGACCATTTAGCAAGTAGCTACTCTTCTTTCCCAGATGTAGAACACCTTGGAAGTGCAGAAAGATCAATTCAGAGCAAAATAAACATCCTGATTAATTTCCAAAGCAGGAACTAAATGTGAAAAAATTTCCAAAATAGTCACATAAGTTTCAACACATAGACCTAAAAAGGAAACAAACATCAGCTCCACCTTAGGCTATCCAATTTGTAGTACAGCAGAGAGATTTAATAAAAATGTTACAATCCTAACAAGGCAAATGTGGGGCTGAGTAAGACAGAAATTACAATATATATTTTTAAAAATTTGAACAGAAATCAGTTAAAAATTAGCATAACAACGTAGGTATTCTAAATTGACTGGAAACATCTTGTTTTCTTAAGTATTAGCAACATCCCTCTAAAAGCTTCTCTATGTCATTAATTTGCTTAGGAAATGCTTCTTTTAAGATAATGGAAGGTCAGACTTCAGCCTAACTCCTTTAAACTCAAATTTCAAATTACTGGAATCTGAATTAATGGGATTTTATGGTATTGCAGTTCTTAACTATGGAGACTCCACTGTGCCCAGGAGTGAAACTCTTCAGGCCTTTGCACACAACAGAAAGGACAGGTTTCTTTGCGAGGCAGATGTGTAGTACAGACAGTGACTGATATCACTGGTAAGGTTAATTCCCTAAGAGGAGAGATTAGGGAGCAACATGCTGGTTCTGACCCCCGAGAACGCAACAGAGAGGACTTCCATGATCCTCAGCAAGATGACTTACATGTCTGTGAAAAGAGCTGGAGAGTCAGGCCGGTGGGACTGCACATCCTGCATAGCATTCCATTCATTGACTGAGGATTGATCTGAGTTGATATGGCTCTCATAATAACTCACCCAGGTGAGAAACAGGCTGCCAGGGTAGTAGTTATGCATTCTGGCGACTTCACAAGCCTTGTGCAGACTCTGTAATGCAGACCTGAAAGATATGCTGGGAAATGAGCACTGGAGAACTGTGGGGATACCAAAAGGCCAATAATCCATGTGCTCCCCAAACTCTTCCAATTTTTATATCCTATAGAGTTGGGCCTCTGGAGAATCTATTCCTTGGAATTCAAGAATCTCTGATTCTGATCATACTACATTATCTCTTTATAGCAATCAACTAGACATTTCTTGCTGAAAGATACGATGCATTATTAAGGCAGGGGGTAGAGGGGAGCAGGAGAACTGACAAGCTACCAGTGAAAAATAGGTCTGAGTACCTATGGAGCTCACAATCCTGTAGTTGGAACCACGCTGTGGCTACTGCCACTAGAGAAGTAAAGATCTATTTCATTTACTACACAAACATTTGTTTCTCTTGGCACAGAGTCACGTTAGAACATGTATTCCCTATGACTCTTAGAGGCTCCACAAAGATCACATAGACAGATGTTCCTAAGCCCTGAGGACAAGTCCTTTAATGCCCAGGATGTACTGATCTAATGACATCTGTCATTCTTGTTACCTTAGTCTCCTAGTCTTTTTAAACCATTTATTCATACACTTGAGCTACTTTCTAAGAACAGCTCTGGTTATACTGAGACTAATTAAATCTCTCACTCTGAACTCAGGAGCTCAAGAAGGGTAAACAAAACTGAAAAGTACCTTTTTGGTTGTATACTTGGGAAAACTAAAGCCAGAAATGCTAGGAAGAGTTATACAAGAGCAGGCATCTTTCTATGTTTTTGTTTACTGATTTGTCTCAAGTGCCTAAAAGAATGCCTTCTTTAAAAAAAAAAAAAAAAAAAAGAATGCCTTCTAGTTCAAAGTTGGAGCACAGTTAAAATTTGTTGAATGAAATGTCTTATTAGCTATAAACTAATGTCTCTCTCCTAAGGGAAAAGGATAGTATGTGAGAACTCTGTGGCCAATCTATACCCATCTTTTTCTTAAAAATGCCTTTTCATTGTTTTTTTTCTTTCATAACAAATGTGATCATGCTCATTTTAGAAAATATAGGGACCTCAGGTAAACAGCAGAAATATCCTTAATCTGACCGCCCAGAAATAGCCACTGTTGGTCTCTGCAGAGATCTAAAATAAAGATGATCATATTCTGCACACCATTTAACTTGTTCTTTTACTATACACCTTGTCATCGACATCTTTCCAGGTCAATAAATATTCTTCAACTAGTTAATTTTTAATGGTTGTATAATATTTAGAAACATGGATGTACCATAATTTAACTGACTCCTATTATTTTAGCCATTTAAATTGCTTTCTTTTTTTTTTTTTTTTTTTTGCGGTATGTGGGCCTCTCACTGTTGTGGCCTCTCCCGTTGCGGAGCACAGGCTCCGGACGCGCAGGCTCCGCGGCATGCGGGATCTTCCCGGACCGGGGCACAAACCCGTGTCCCCTGCATCGGCAGGCGGACTCTCAACCACTGCGCCACCAGGGAAGCCCCCTCAATTGCTTTCCATTTTTTGCTACTATTAGAACACTGACAAACATTCTTATAGTTAAAAATTTGCACACACCCTTGATTATTACCTTAGGATAAATTCTTAGAAGCACAATTACTATGTCAAAGGGCATATAAAATGATACAGCAAGCTGGCAAATCATTCTCCAGAAAGGTTGTTCCAGTTTATTTTCCCACAAGTAAGTCTACGACAATGCTGTTCCTTGAGTCCTTGTCAACCCCGTAAAATGTAAATTAAAAAATAAAATCATGACCAATTTCATGAGAAAAACATGCCAGTCCATTTTTAGTAGGGAAACAGATTTTCCCTTAAGAACAAAGCTGCAGTCTTTTAAAATGTCTCCTTTTACTTAACGTAAGCCAAATTCTCAGAATTCTCAGCAAATTGCAGTTTCTTACACAGATTCAAAGGTAAAAGCCAGCTTAGTGCAATGTACAGGATATTCAATGCATGTTTTCTTCACCCAGGAAACACATGCTTCAAAAGCATATGCCACAAGTGTCTGGTGCAAATGTCCTAAACACACTCAAGGCATAACCAGCTCATACTTCAGCTGCATACAGGAGAGTGAGGCTGCAGTAACTACTTTCCTGTGAAGGAAACACCTGGTCTAAATGCTACTTTGATCCATACATCATCTTTTTCTTTTCTTTTTTTTTCTTTTGTGACTTTCAGTTCACTACTCCTCATGTGGTACACCAAAAAAAGTTTATTCTGCAATAAGCCAACAGACCTAGGACTAGTCAGTCTACTTTAGAACATCAAAGCTTGAATTACTTGAATCCTTAAGAATTAAGACTGCTTTGTACTCCTCCCCAAAATATAACTGAAAACACTACATTTATGGGACTTAGGACTTACGGGTTTTACTTGGTATAGGTCAGTTGCTTTTAATGGACCCTTAGTCAAAAGAGGTCATAAGTTTTCTATGAGAAATTTATCTGTGAAATATGCCCTAAATCTAAAAATGGGTCTAAACACATAACCTGAAACTCTGTCCTACCTCAATTACTGCATGAAATAAGATTTAATTGTTCAGCTGACTCTCTTTTAGGACCGCACCCACTTCAAGCCTATCAATCCTGTTATTCAGGGGTAAGTTATCTCCCTGGAGTCTTTTTCAGGCTCCTTTATTTCTTGTTTGGCTTGCATTCTGCCCATTCTACTCCTCATGGAGACTTCCACTATAGAACAGGCAACTGAATGAGGAACTGAAATTCAAATCGCTGACTGGGGGATGACTCTGAATCTTAGAGTCACATCATTCCCTGTTTATACTGGATCATTTTTCTAGATAATCTAGAACAAGAGAATAAGAATCTATTCTGTCTAAATGTAAGAGATACTCTTAGGCCAGTTATATAACCTCTCCAAACTTTGGTTTTCTCACCCATAATAAGGAGCTAATAATACTATTTTGGGGAGTTGGTGTGATGATTAGATGTATTCCATGTAAAGCACTAGGCTCAATGCCTGACATATATAGTAGGTAACCCAAAAGTGTCAGTACACCAGCTGATGGTTATTAACAACTACAATGTTTTTTCTAGGCTGTATTTGCATTATGTAAATAGTCTCACAAACAGTTGCCAGCAATTAAATGGAAACTTATCGATGTATAATATAACTCCATCAATGCTATCCCTGATTACCTGAAGAAAGGGGAAGTTAATGCATAGTTGTGAATGTTCTAGACTCGGCTCTAGACTGCTACTAACTTAGTCAACGTGTCCCTATAAAACTCAGTTCCAACTGGCTATCTGATCCATTGTTTTCCAGAGTCTAAGAGCACCTCTGAGTTTCACTTGTTCACCAACGCTGAAGGCCTTCCGTTGTGATAATTTGAAAACTGAACTTCTAGGTCATCTTTAACTATGATGGCCACACAGACAGATCACACAAAATCCTATACACACAAACAGATCATACAGCATTTTCACAAAGAACTGTGCCATTTCAAATACTACTTCTCACAAAATATTGTTCCAATAACATTAGAAAAACTTTCACAGAGATATTAAAAGTCCTCTTACCACATTGCCTGCACAGACACAGGTTTGAATATGTGAACTCTGTTATCTGTTGATACGCTGAACCCACTAAGGAAAACAGAATGAGACAAAAATCCATAAATGAGAGTAGGTTATTTCAGTTGTGAGTTTCCAAGGCTGTTTCCCAGGCTAGCAATTGCTGGCTCAGTAGCAGGTATCATCAGGCACTTTGTGTAGAAGTTAACTGGAGTACGGGACTTGACTGAAAAGCTTCAACGAATTGTCTGATTTCATCTACCAAGCAAAATGAATGGACTCCCACATTGGAGTCAGGGAATTACATACTGTTTCCCAGCTGTAGCTATGGACAAACTGTTCTGCTGTATGTTTCTATTTGGAAGTCTTGTGGGTTCTTAGCAAACCTGACCCTGGTTTTATAAACTGGAGCAAACATCTTGGTCTCTTGGGGACACATTCTAAAAACACCAGTAGGTGGGGGTGGGGGGTCACTGGAAAGAACTGGCACAGGAATGGGTTATACTGTAGGCTGACAGCTGGCAGAGGCAGCAAGAGGTTACTTGAAACAGAACATATCATCCTCTGGGAGAGCACTGCAACAGTCCCACGTGCTCGGATTAAAGAGTGGAGCCAACAAACTAGTTCTTCTTTGTTTGGATTCTTACCATAGTCGGTCTAGAGGAGTAGAAGTGAGAGGCTCTGGCAAGCTGTATTTTTACTCTACTTTACAAAACAGGAGTTTAAAAGGACTCAATGAGCTGCTGACATGACAGTTCAGTTGGGCATAATGGGCCTCCCATTCAGCTGAATGAATGGGCACTAAGATGGAACCCCACCCCTTGGCTTTCTGTAGGAGAATAAAAAGGGAAAGCTCTTACCCATCACCATCCAAATGAATTAGGGTGTCACTCCAGAGAGGCAGGACTAAACCCATGGTACAAGTGCTACTGCAAGACAAGAAATAGTCCATAAATTACTTCCTGTTACTCTAGGAAGCAGCTGTTTATTAACTCTTTCACTACAAAGGATAAGTCCCTGAGCTCTAAATTCTAACATAAGTGCAGAAATTTCTATCATATTACCAGTAACCCAACATATGTGCCCCGGAGCTGTTTTAAAACAGGTGTTAGTTAGGTCTCTAGGTATTAAACATAGAGAACTTATTGACTGAGCTTCCTTTACTGCTGTCTTGCAAATGGCCACTGTCTAAAAAGTCCAGGTGATCGCTGACTTGCAACTGGCAGGTCTCAGCCCAAGTTCACAGCACCCAATTCAACTCAGAATTATTTCCAATGCCAAGAACTATTGCTAGTTACTGAAGACCTCTGAATATGTGATTTGCTCAATTCTAATCCTGAGGTTTACATAGATTTATTAAATACCAGAACGTACTCAATAGTCTAAAAGGGAATTGTTAATGGCTTGTAATCAAGTTAGAGAGACAAAACAGACACATTACAACTTAAAAAAATAAAACAGTGCTTGGTGGCTGTGCACTGAAACAGCACTGCTGAAATGCAGAGTGAAGCGGAATGTCAAAAACCAAAAAAAGAGTAGCTCTAGTATGGTATGTTAAAATATTATTTAAATCACACCCTATCCCTGGGAGGAAACTAGTTTTAAGTTAATGGAACAGGTTAGGATGGGAAGCCATGGACTCCCAATTGTGTCTCTATCACACCACTTCTCTGGACAACTATAATCTACCCTAGAACTCTGCCACTTTCTCTCCTTAAGGCTGCCATACACCATTTTCCCCTCCATCCAGTCTCCCAAAGGCTCCTATACCCTCTCCCTTCCAATATATCTTAGAAAAGCAGCATGGTATAGTAGAAGGAACACCAGATGTAGGAGGTGGAACAGCGAAGTATGGTTAAGAGCATAGGCTCTGGAGTCAGAGGGGCTTTGGAATCTGGATTTTGGCATTAACTGTATAATTTTAGGCAAATTATTTAATTGCGTTGTGCTCCAGTTTCCTCATCTGTAAAACTGGGATAAAACTACCTTCTTTATTGGGCTGTTTTGTAGGTTAAATTAGATAACACACCAAAAACAAATGTGTACAACAGTGCCTAAAACATAATAACAACTACCATGTATTGAGCAGTTATACTACATCAAAAGATCTGGATTCGATCTCCTTCAGTATTTCAATTCCTTTTGACAAGTTATTTAACCTCTCACAGCCTTAATTTTGTCATCTTAAAATATAGGTAATGAAACCTAAGCCTCACAGGGTTATCATAAAAATTTAAAATGTTTAAAGTGAAACAATACATATGAATGTATTGTCATGTAAAACAAATGTTGAATATGAATCTGTGGTGGGTGCTCTAACACAATGGAAAATGATTTTGGCAGGGCAGGGTGGGGGACATTATGAAAAATGCATTAAAAACAACGTGAGGGGGCTTCCCTGGTGGCGCAGTGGTTGAGAGTCCGCCTGCCGATGCAGGGGACACGGGTTCATGCCCCGGTCCAGGAAGATCCCACGTGCCGCGGAGCGGCTGGGCCTGTGAGCCATGGCCGCTGAGCATGCGCGTCCGGAGCCTGTGCTCCGCAACGGGAGAGGCCACAACAGTGAGAGGCCCGCGTATCGCAAAAAATAAAAAAAAATAAAAACAACATGGGGAATACTGAACTCCCACTGCTGCTGGAGTCACTGCAGGGCTAACAAAGGCCATTCCTTAGTTGGGCTGTACCTAAGGCTCTGCACTGCACTTGCTGCCCTGTGTTACTCACAACTCCACTAGTGATTCCAGAGTTCAGGAGATTCAAATCAAGATTGCAACAGCTTAGGCACATTGTAACCTTGGGCCTGAACTCCTGAACAGCTATCAAGCCAGGCCCTGGAGGGAGGAGGACTGCTCCACCACTGTTTCTGTTGACTAGATGAGGTGAGTACAAGGAAAACCTGTTTTGAAAATGGCTTCCCAAGGTTGAGTGAGTTATTTTTAGAGTAGTTTTTTTTTTTTTCCCTTAAGTGAATGCTTATCTAGGTCCTGGCAGCAAGTATAATTTGGGTATAAACATGAAGGATTTATAGATTAGTGACAAATCTAGAAATTAAGTAACTACAGAAGATACCAAAGGTCCAAAAGAGTGTGATCTATGAGCTTGTGACCAGACACCAGTTAAACTTTAGACAAGTGACAATGATATGCAGGAACCAAACATCGCATTTTCTGCTTGTATTCAGGTCAGAATGCTTTTTTACATTAAGAAGTAGCTTTTTCACATGACAGGAAAGAGAGGCCTGAATTAGGCACACCTAGTATTTTTATCTAGTTTATCTTGAGTCTCATGAAATTTTCTCCATTAAAGTATAGTTACTTATTTTAATAGATACTCATCCCATTCAAAAATTATTTATTGAGTGCTGCTATGTACCAGACATTTCAAGGTGTTGGGGGTATGAAGAAAAATTATAAAATAATACCATAAAACTCTATAACTTGAAATATATACCAAATGCAATTTGGAAACCAAGGTTATACTTTTTATTAAAAAATTTATTACTTAAAATATAACACAATACTCAAAGAACTTATAAATAGGCTAAATAAATTGGCTGTAATATATCTTGAGAATTACTGGGGATGAGCATGTCATAAACAATCTGGGTTCCACTTTGGTTTAATACTGTTTTGAAACATTAACTTTTTATATTCTCAGATACAAAATGATACAGATTCCTTCAAATAGCAACTGAGAGAAATGATACTAGATTACTTGAGCAACAGTATTCTGAAGTGGGCAGCAATTTTCTTACTGTCCAATAAGCTCATTCAAACAGAGGGTGTAGGGGAATTCATAATATCAGATTTACCAAACAGAATGAAAACTAGTTTCTATAGCTTTTCTTATCACATTTTGTCTTCCATAAACGAAAATTTTCTTTTGTTAGTCAGATATGATTCAGGCAGGACTATTACCAAAGACACATGCAGTTTACCGGGGATAAATTACTGGGCACCCACATTAATAAGCATTCTTTATGATTTCTGGGAACGTTTAGGACAAAGTGAAAGAGAGATAAGATTAGACATCTGATTTCCCAGACTCTGGGTCAGGAGGATCTGAAGTTGTCGCCTTCTCTCTCTACGGCAAGACTCAAATGACATTTCCATGCAGCTCCAGTTCCTGTTTTATGGGATTTCCAAAGGAGGAGTCAGGGAGAACCAAACAAAGGAAATGAGATGGAGGGCAGCCCTGTCCACCTGATCTTTCTGCAATGACGGAAATGTTCTATAAGTGTACTGTCCGACAAGGAAGCCACAAGCCACATGTAGCTAGAGTACTTGAAATGTGGCTAGCTGTGGCTGAGGAACTGAAATTTTAATTTTATTTAATTTTAATTTATTTAAATAGTTACAATGTGATTAGTGGCTATTGTACTGGACAGTACAGATCTAGAGACATAAAAACCCAAATCAGAGGTCTTAAAAGTACTAATGAATGTAGGCAAGGTAGGTATTCTTACAGGATAAACGCTTATTGAAAGATCTGTGTTGCTTAGGTAACACTAGAGGTTAAAACCATGCAGGAGAAAAAGCTTCCTAAATGTGGTTCACAAGCCTGTGTAATTTCAGAGCTTACAATTAACGGCTGTAAGTGGTATACAAGGTAACAACTCTGGCCTTGTGATCCTGGTGAACCCACATATCATTTTCAGGTTGACTGCTATGTACAAGCTCAGGTAAACACTAGTTTGGGAATCTTTCTGGTGACAATGTAATTTTTTTTCCCCTTCTAACATCAGGACAATGAGAATCACTCTTAGTCTCCTCTTCTCTTTGCCACTAAATTTTCCCAGGCCTGGGTCACACCCCTAGCTACTCCACAATCGCATTCTAGTCCTGAACCAGGAAGTCAATGCTTTGAGATATCTGGCAGGATTTCCTGAGGCTTATTATCTACAGTGAAAAGATCTGCTTAGCAGCCACATTCCACAGTCTTCCCAAGGTTTCTCCAAAAAAAATGGGAAAATAAAATGGAAAGCAACAAACCTCAGAGGCACAAAAAAGCCAGGTGATACATGGTATCACCTTAGGTATCATCTTAGGATGTATAGTGCTGCTAAAGCCAAAGGTAAATGATTATAAAAGGTTCTGTTTTGAGTTTAAACAATCATCTCCCCTGCCTTTCTTTAACTCAGAAAAAGAAAAAAGGAAGTGTAACATTTGACAAAAGCAAGGTGCAAGGCCATGGATCTAAGAGACTGGAATTAAAGCGGGCTCTCTTTGAACCCAGAACCCACTGGTACACTATCACAAAGGGTGTGTGCCCCAGAACCACCAAATGAATCGTTACTGCTTAAAATAAAGAGGACTGCAAAGAAAAGCCAGTTATTCCCCCCACCCTTGGAGACAGAAATTTAAACCATTTGCTTTATATCATTACCACCTAAAGATGAGAGGAAGAAGGTAAGGAACAGTGGTAAATTAGGAACACACAACCAAAGACATTCACTGAACATTTTTGTGTCTCAAGATTGTGTGACTAAGATACTTCTGATGTTCTCTAGTTTTACGCACTGAACTTTTAGAGTAGAACTGCATAAGATGTTTTTGTGATAACTCAAAAGGTAACTGGAGTGGGTTGTTTAAAAAGAGGTTTTCTCATTCTCCCCTCTGTGGTACCATACCTGTCATTAGAGGAGAAATCCATTCCTAGGACGATGCTTTCTTCAGTGTCTTGTCTACCGTTAGTTGAAACCACTACCATATAGCGTGTTCGATTCTGGTAAGTACTCTCTAGTCTTACAGCCTGGAGGTTAATAGACAATAAAGAAATTAAGAAATTTAGAAGATCAATTTTAGATCATTCAACCCTTTTTACATCACCATTTTAAAGCATACTCAAGGAGATAGCAGAGCCAGTAATTAGGAGACCTAAATTCAAATCCCAGTTCATGGATTAACTATGAAAACTTCAGTGAGTTAATTGGAGGGAAATATAATAATACCTATTCCATTGGGTTGTAAGAATCACATGAAATAATGCATGTAAAGTACAGTGCTTGGCATATACTAAATGCTCAATAAATGTTTGCTATTAGGATAATTTATAACAATAACGATTACCAGGGCATGTTCTAATGATCTAAGAGTGGACTGTGAGGTATATGAATGTGAGCACCTGACTCACAGATCCATGTCCCGCAAACAATTATAATAGGAAGCAAAGTTTAATATCAGAGGAATATGCTCTATTGCATTCTTACAGATTATACACTACAAGACTTTCTTTAGTTTCAAATATCAGAAGTTTATATTATTTTTATCAAAATTATGGTATTTTAAAAGGTCCTTCAGAAAATTCAAATATGCATATGGTCTCAGATGATATTAAGGATTTACTGTTAGTGTGATAATGGCATTGTGGTTATGTCTTTTTCTTAAATATCTGGAGTGAGATGACCTGAGGCCCAAGTTTTACTTTAAAATCTTCCAACAATGGGAAGCAACAAGATATTCTTCAGTAGGTGAATGGATAAACTGTGGTACATCCAGACAATGGACTAAAAAGAAATGAACTATCAAGCCATGCAAAGACATGGAGGAATCTTACAGGCATATTACTAAGTGAAAGAAGCCAATGTGAAGAGGCTAGATAGATAGTATGATTCCAACTCTATGACATTCTGGAAAAGGCAAAACTATAGAGTCAGTAAAAAGATCAGTAGTTGCCAGGGGTAAGAGGAGCACCAAGGATTTTTAGGACAGTGAAATTACTCTGTATGATACTCAAGTGGTAGATACGTGTCATTACACATTTGTCAAAACCCATAAAATTTATAGCACCCAAGAGTGAACCCTAATGTAACTATGGACTTTGAGTAATAATGATATGTCAACATAGGCCCATCAGTTGTGACAAATGTTCAGCTCTTGTGGGAGATCGTGATAATGGGGGAGGCTATGCTTGAGTGGGAATAGAGGGTACGTGGCAAGTCTCTGTACCTTCTGCTCAATTTTACTGTGAACATAAAACTGTTCTAAAAAATGCAGTCTATTAAAAAAATTTGCTAAGAGGGTAGATCTTCTATTAAGTTCACCACCATGGTCATCATCCTAAGGAGGAGGAAGAGAAGGGATGCAGGGCTGGAGGAAACTTTTAGAGGTGATGAATATGTCCATGACATAGACTGTGGTAATTGTTTCACAGGTACATACTTATCTCCAAACTCATCAAATTGTATATATAAATATGTACAACTTTTTGTATGTCAATCATACCTCAAAATAAAGTGGTTTTTAAAAAGTTCCAGCAAAGAAAGAATAAAAGGGGGAGATAAATGAAAGAAATCTGGCAAAATGTTGATGGTTATTAAAGTTCGGTAACAGGTTCATGCAGACATATTTTCTACTTTATATGTTTGGGAATTTTCTTAAGAAGGCTCAAAAAGATACTTTATAAACCTTAAAAATAAAGTAAAATGGCTACTAGTCAACATTCATTCAATTATTTACTCTGTATCTACAGTGTATATCATCAGAGCAGCCATGAGGATTCAATGGTGGAAGAGAGAGATATGGTTCCTGCCCTCACAGACTGTACAGTCTAGACTACTCTTCTTTTTATCTGTTAATAAAAAGCCAGGAAGATGTGCACTGAAGGCAATATTCTCTGTATAGCATACTCTCCCACCCCCACTCCTTATCTCAGAAGAGAAACGGTTCCAATCCTATCACCTGGCTCAAGAAATCTGTCACAAATTTGTTAGAAATTTCTATCTGTAATTCTTTCAGCGCTACTCTTCTTGGAGTCTCCTCCTTCATTCTGTCACTATTCCAAAAGTGGCCAGGCAAAGAAAAAAAAGAGACATCACATGACCCACTTAAAAAGGCAGAGGTGAGTCAGTCTCTCCTGGCTATCTTTTCACCTCTATTCTGATACTCCTAGGAAAAGCTACTTGTAAGCACAATCACCTAAAATAACGACATTAAGCTTGTCTCTAATAAAGAGCTGATACACCAAGAATGTAATTCCCACCATACTAACTCCATGTACCAGGTAGAGAGCTGTACTGCTGACTTTTATGTTCCATGAAATAATAGAACATTTCAAACCAAATTCACTTGTGAGAGCTAAGAGGAACTACTAGTTAAACTGACAAAGGTCTAGCCCTATTTGGCTGGGACCAAGTGAGCATTACACACATAGAGGTATGAGTAGCAGTAAATGTACATGAGGAGGACTGACAGGCAGCACAGACTCTATGATTCTAGAAACATTCCACAAAATATTAAACTAACCAAAAACCTGGTGCAGGTAAACTAGAATTTCTTATAAACAAGATCTCAGATATTATTACATATCTAAACCTGGGCTTGCTTTGGCAAGCTCTGGTCTAACTGTTCAGTTTCCTGAATATGTATGTTACAGGCCTTTTATCCTGTCAAAGCTCTGAGAATTTCTGGAAAGGCTCACATGCAAATGGCATGGAAACAACTAAACTATGCTTCTGATCATTTATCTATAACTTCTACACCAACTAGTGGGGACTGATTGGCTAAGTTGAAGCTGATAAAGGTAAAAACAAAAATAAACAAAAGACCTCCATAAATATTACCTATTATGCAAGTTATCAGGCCAAGTTAGCAGGTGGGTAGCAAGTTTCTTTGTGATATTCAAATAAAACATTAGTTGTTTCTCTTTTAAAAGTGAGGTGTATATCTGTTTATCTATGTATCTATTTAAAATATAAAGAGCATTTCAAATGTTTGGCCCTCCCTTGCTTAATCTAATCAGAACAGAAGATCCTAAACCTAATGGGAAAGGCCCCAGTCACGTCACACTGATTTAGGCTTGAGAAACTGGCACATCACGGATTCATTCCATTTTAATCTTCTTAGATGGAAGAATAGCACTTAGAGGTCTTCGGATTTGATCATGGACCTCTAGATAGCACCTACAGTTATCACTAAACTTTTACTAAATGGAAGTGGAGCTTTAATCAGTGGGTGAGAAGCCATGACATTAACTTAACACTTACATCCTAATTAGAAGGACAAGATCAAAAAAATTTTTTTTCATTAATTAATTTATTTTTGGCTGCGTTGGGTCTTCGTTGCTGTGTACGGGCTTTCTCTAGTTGCAGTAAGCTGGGGCTACTCTTTGTTGCTGTGCATGGGCTTCTTATTGCAGTGGTTTTTCTTGTTGTGGAGCATGGACTCTAGGCATGCAGGCTTCAGTAGTTGTGGCATGTGGGCTCAGTAGTTGTGCCTCACAGGCTCTAGGGCACAGGCTTAGTAGTTGTGGTGCATGGGCTTAGTTGCTCCACAGCATGTGGGATCTTCCCGGACCAGGACTCGAACCTGTGTCCCCTGCATCGGGAGGCGGATTATTAACCACTGTGCCACCAGGGAAGCCCCAAATCAAATTTTTTTATAAAATTTTTTTTTTGCAATGCCAGGGGACAGACCTGAGGCTTCGAAATTCCCTTTAAGCTTCAAGATTCTAGATTAAGGAAATAAATAAAAATTTAAGAGCCACAGCATAGAGAAAATACTAATAACCACCCTGGTTTGAGGTCTATTTCACTCCTGTGTTGGGGAGATTAACAAAATCTAATAATCTAATTTGATTCATTAAGTCAATCAGAGAAATATAATTTAAAATGGCAGTTTGCACATAATACCCTAATATTAGAATTGGCAGGAATTCCAATGTTTCCTCAGTTTCCAGAACTCACATGGAATAGATGACAAATAAGGCAACAATTCAGATGCATTTGATTAAAGTTCTCATTGAAAAGGATACTACTGAAGTTTACTCTAATCGCCCAGATAAAATAACGTTTTGGATTTTTTTAAACGTCTTTATTGGAGTATAATTGCTTTACAATGGTGTGTTAGTTTCTGCTTTATAACAAAGTGAATCAGCTATACATAAACATGTATCTCCATATCTCCTCAACATTTTGGATTTAAAAAAATATTTTTCTTATCTATCTATATCTATCTATCTACGGTTGGGTCTTCCTTGCTGCTCGCGGGCTTTCCCTAGTTGTGGAGGGTGGGGGCTACTCTTCGTTGTGGTGCACGGGCTCCTCATTCTGGTGGCTTCTCTTGTTGTGGAGAATGGGCTCAGTAGTTGTGGATCGCGGGCTCTAGAGTGCAGGCTCAGTAGTTGTGGCACACGGGCTTAGTTGCTCCACGGCATGTGGGATCTTCCCAGACCAGGGCTTGAACCCGTGTCTCCTGAATTGTCAGGTAGATTCTTAACCACTGCGCCACCAGGGAAGTCCCAACGTTTTGGATTTTAAAACGTGGCAGCAATAGCAACTGAGAAAATTATTCCAAGAAAGTCCATTTATTGCTAAATTTGGAATAGTACAAGTTTCAGGAGAACTGGATCCAGCAATCCTAGGTCTGAGAAGTCATCTCATTTTCAAAGCTCATCTTATCAAAGAATGTTAAAACTTCCCCTGTTTAAACGCTTAATCTGATTATAAGCAGTTCACAAACCGATACAACAACTTCTCTGCTCAGCATCATCCAGCATCAGGAAATACTCCTCCTTAAGTTTACATTGCACCTTTGTCTTTAATCTATTTCCAACAAGAATCTTACATCATGCCCCTACATGCAATGTTTATCCTAAGGGAAGCCACATTATAAAGTCCCAACGTCAGACAGGCAGCTCACGCAATCCATCAAGAAAGAAAGGTTTCAAAAGTATGCAAATATTAAATTCTAGCCAAAAGAACAAAGTTAATACCTAAAATTAAAATAGACTTCAGATGTGACACTAATGAACTA